CCCGCCGGCGAGCACGCGCCGTTCGTCGGGATGCCGGTCAGCTGGCCGGCACAGTTGGTAGCGGGGGTGGACCGCCCCGCGCCCAGCCCGTCCGCCGTGCACGCCATGCCGCCCCAGTACCTGGTGTTCGGCGCCATCGTTTCGGTTCGCTACAGCAAGCTCGGAAGATACCTACATCGTCTAAATCAAATCCTTTTCAAGTTCGAAATTCAAATGCCGCCATGTTGTACCTTCAAAACCAACCTGTCGGGCAAGCTGAAGGTTGCACGATCCTGAACAAGCCAGAAGTATTGTGGGCGAGACTGTACTTTGGTAAGTTGGCCATGTCGATTTTCTGGTGGAGTCTCAGCCGCGGCTGGGCCGACAGCATTATCAGGCGAGCTGATTTCATGCACTGTACCGCTCGGGGTGGGTCGAGCGCACGTGCCAAAAATGATGGATCTCCCAGGCTCGGTCTATCACCCTATCGTCGGCTGGTCTCTGTGAGTGAGCGCGTTGCTAATCGCTGAGCATGTCGGCAACTCCGTCTCCTTTGGGGTTCTCTCTCCTGGGCTCCCGGCCTTTTTGGCCCGAGACGCTTTTGTAAAGGAAATGCCCAGTAGCTCTGCTTCCTTTTTTCCTTGCGCGAGTCGAGGGGATCTGCAATACATGTTGATCCGTAGTTCTGGTGTTCCCGCCCTGCCATCCCCTGTACCAGCGTGCATCCATAGGCAGTGGCCATGTCGATTTTCTGGTGGAATCTCAGCCGCGGCTGGGTCGACAGTATTATCAGGCGAGCTGATTTCATGAACTGTGCCGCTCGGGGTGGGTCGAGCGCACGTGCCCAGAATGATGGATCTCCCAGGCTCGGTCTATCACCCTATCGTCGGCTGGTCTCTGTGAGTGAGCGCGTTGCTAATCGCTGAGCCTGTCGGCAACTCCGTCTCCTTTTGGGCTCTCTCTCCTGGGCCCCCGGCCTTTTTGGCCCGAGACGCTGTTGTAAAGGATATATATATATATATATATATATATATATATATGTATATATATATATGTGTGTGTGTGTGTTCTAGAACCACGCGCGCTTCGCGCGCGCTTAGGTTCTAGCGCGTCACAGACACAGGAATCGCTGTGCGAATTTGTTTTTGAAGTTTGTCTCAGGCAAGCGAGGGCTCCAGTGGCAACACCTGCTTGAGGCACCGTCGGGCACGGACCCTGTGTAGAGTGTGGAAAGTCGGACCAGCTCTCTGGGCGACCCTCTCGGGCGCGGCCTGGGGCTCTTTTGGGCCGCCTTTGGGGGCCCATTGCGGGGCTGTTTCGGGGCTTTTTTTGTGTTTTTGTGTGGTCTCGTGGGGGCCTCTTGGGGCTTCTTGGAGCCTGTTGGGGTCTCCTGGGGTTTTTTTTGGCCAACAGGCGCGAATTTATGGTTCCTCGTCCCTGTCTTGGGCGCCGACTCGGGGCGTTCTTGGGCGGTTTGGGCGCCTCGTGGGCCGTCTTGGCCCCCTCGTGGGCCGTCTTGGGGCACTTCTTGGGGGCATCCTCGACCGGCCTGGGCGCCTGGCCGTCTTGGACGCAGTGGAAGCCCAAAAATCGAACGCGCCAAAAACATCAGTTTTCGCAACGGAAATCGACGATTTTTGCTTATTAGGGGTTCTCTCGGGGTGCCTCTTGGGGCGTCTTCGGGGCCCGGGGGGCTTCTTGGCGTCATGGGAGTCGTCTTGAAAGGCATCCGAAGCCATCGGGGCGCGTTTTCGAGCGTTTCGAAGCCATCTTCGGGCGATCTTGGACGGCCCCCTGCGCTCCGGCAGGGCTCCCGGCGCGCTGGGTTCCACGTTTGCGGTCGGGGCTCCAGCCCTTGCCCACCGGACCCGGTCCCCCGTTATGTGTGTGTGTGCATACATACATGCATGTATGTATGTATGAATGAATGAATGGATGTAGGAATGTATGTATGAATGTATGTATGTGTGTATATACATACATGTATATATGTACATATATATATATATATATATATATATATATATATATATATATGTATATATTCCCTCTTCTAAATGTTTACAATCCGGGGGGTGGGCCCCCCCCATCCCCCCCGGCTGGACCTTCCAGAATCCCTAACGCCTGGGGTTTTTGGACGCTCCCTCTCCGAGGGTCCCATGAGTTTTCCGATCTTCTGGGGGCCCCTGCCAAGTCGTGCAAGCGAGCAGGCGGTAGTCCCAAGAAGGTCCAACATGGCCTCCTGATTGCCCAAGAGACTTGGCTGGCCGCGGCGGGAGTCGTTTTAGGCGACCCCCCAAGTCAATTTAGCACGCGCAGTGGTACTTCCGTAGCTGTGCGTGTTGGCTCAGAGAAAAAGACGGCGCCCGCCCCGCCGCGCGCGCGGCCGGCCGGCCCCCTCCTACCCTTCAGGACCAACCTATGCTTAGCGGACACTTCCCCACGCAAACTCATGGCGTGGAGGACCTACGACTTCAGGTTCACTTTCTCCGAGGATAAAATAGAGCAAGAGGCTTCAAGAAGATGAAGAGCAACCGATCAAGATTGTCAAAGATATGCCAATGTCATCGATCGACTGGCAAAATACTATTCTCGCAATTTCGATTCCGACGGCGCTTCCGATGGGTTCCAAGATGGCCCAAGAAGGCCCCAAGAGACCCCCAAAACGCGCCCAAGAGCGGCGGCCAAAAACGCCCCAAAGGCGTCCCCAGATGCGATTTCAAGGGGTCTCGGGGGGGGGGTTGTTGGGGCACGTTCCCATTTTTGTTGATGTCCTCTCAGATGGCCCGAAGAAGGCCCCCGCGGCCCCCGAGAGTGCCCAAGAGAACCCCAACACTGTTGCAAAGGCTCCCACCAATGCCGCAAGATGGCCCCACGAGCGCACAGGAACGCCTCTCGAACGCCCCAAAAGGGTTCCGGGAAACGATCTTTCGGGCTCCAGTGGGGGGCGTTGTTTCATGGACGCGCCTTTGTGTGACCTATGTCCTCAAAAACGACCTCCCCTTTCCATCCTCCTCCTCCTCGTTTCCTCCTTCCTCCTCTTCTTGCTCCTTCGAAGACATCGCAGTTGCCACCCCGCCGAACAATCGAACCATTTTCGTCCCAGCTTTCGTCATCTTTCATCGGCCCCGTTGTTTTGTTGAGGCGATGGCATATCTAACTTGCGCTTGGGCCTGCTCTCTCTGTTCGCGGTTGTTCGTTCAACGGCGCCCGTCTGTTTGGCATCGTTTCTGAATTGGTTTGTGGGGATACGCGACGCGGTGATGTGTCAGCAATTTGCAAATTTGCCCAACATGAACACGCATTACAAGTTCCAAGTTCCCAGTCGATCGCCGACCCCATGTCGGTGCAGGTGTTGCTCAGCACCTCTTCTCTATTCGTTCCCACGTTTGTCCTCCACCTCCTCCTTTCTTGTCTCTATCACACCCTTGTGTTGTGTCTCCGTCCGTATGCCTCCCCCAGAGAGAGAGAGAGGGGGACATCGGTATATCAAGAGAGAGAGAGAGGGAGAGACTCTCCCTCTCTCTCTCTCTGTCCCTCACTCTCTCGACATACATATACCTATGGGGTACATGTGTATGGTATGTACTGTATCTCTCTCTGTGCCTCTCCCCCCCCCCCGGTTTGTTTACACGCCTCCCCATGTAAGTGCTTCCGTTGACCGATGCAGGATTTGTTGTACAATGTGTTGCTATATGCTGTCGATTTGTACTGTTTTTCCTTCGCCGCGTGGTGCACTTTCCAGGCGCCGATGCCTCAAGCTCTCCGCGACCGAGCGGGAGTCGATCCCTTCGATCTTGGAGCCGTACAGGACGGTTTTTTGGGATGCAGATTATTAAGCAACGTGGATTTTACCAAGTCGGGGCAGTGTCAGTTAAGTTGGACGTTCGATTGTTGCACGCCCCTCTTGCACAGAGGAACGCTCTCACGGCGGGTAATGCCTATAATGATTGATCGATCTGGCACGCGGGCGGCATGGAATGTCAGCATGGCGCCAGCAAGGGTAGCTTCTCGCATTTCAGCCCCCAGGTTCTCAACACTTTCTTGATCCGCGTTCAGCCCGCGTTGCCTCTAAGCATGCCAAGCAACTTGAGCATAGGAGTCTGGGTGACATCTAACCGGAGTCGGTTCAGACACTCCCGCTGTCCATCCTGCCCAGTTTTTCATCCCGGATCGATGTTTAACGACCCAGGGACAAGATAATTGCTTGCGGAGGTTGAATCGAGGAAGAATTTTTGAACATCCAATGTTGTGGCGACGGGAACTTGGTGAACAGGCTCGCAATCGGCATTACGCTGATATTGAAACCGACTGGATCTTGAGGTACAGGGCGCGCAGCAGTTCCGAGTGGGAAGACATCAACCACGAGCTGCAGCTCACCATTCAGGCGTGGTGCGGAGCGCGAGCGCAATACCCTTGCTTGGCCAGCCACGTTGTCTCCTGCGCGTTGCCGCACAGCAGATACATGATACGGCTTCGGCGACAAAGCAGGAGTCCTCCCGAATCTCCGCAGCTTGGGTACACGTTGCTCCCACCCTCAACCTCTTCAGTACCTTTCGTGGCTACCCTGAGCATGTTCTGTGCGTTCACCTAAGCGAAGAGCTAGACAGCCCGCCCAGAAATGTTCGAATGTTGTTGGGCGTCACGTATGAAGCCACTACATTATTTTGGCTCGTGAGCCCCCTTCTCTTCCAAGGCAGGGAAAGAGGAGGATTCCCACCCACACTTTGAGGATCACGTAGGTGTTTGAACTCACTTCCGCACCGTGGAGCGGTTCCTGATCGTGTTCGAACAATTCTTCCACTATTTGCGCGTATGGTTGCTGATGGATGTACCGCGTCATACTGTTTGGTTGTGTCGTTATCTGTACCGCCTAGCGTTGTTAATCATTGTGCAGGATACGATGAGACTTGGTGTCGGCATCTTGACTTCGTTATGTTTTGCATGCGTATTGCTTCTTTGTTGACGCCCTTGTCTGGGTGACACCCCACCAGCGTTTCCCCTATCAGGTGAGAGACCACATGGAGACCAAGGGGCACACGCTGTACCAGGCCGCGGGCTGCCAATTGCACTTGTCAGCGGCGTCTTGGTGGCTGGCTTGTATGACCATTTAGTCTTCGCTTTTCGTAAGTGCTTCCTACCTCGTGCCCAGCCTGGCCCATGGAATGCATATATCCGAGGATGCATCCGCCCAGGCCTCTCGTTGATTGCTGGTTGTTCCCTGCCTTGTTCTTCATTCGAGTTTACGTGGCCTCGACGGTGGGTCCTTTCTCCCCCTCAACCTCCATCATACATATGATTCCTGTCCACCCCCCTCGGGCTCCTGCGACGGCAGAGCGTCTGCCCAGGCAATCCGCCAGACGGCAGGAGAGGAAGGCAGGAGCGAGAATTCCCGGTGGTCAAGCGCAATTTCAGTTTTTGACAACGAGCCTCTTCTGCAGGCTCCCCTTCCTCCTCGCATTATTATTTGGCCCTCTCAGGCAGTAGAAGGGCACCAGGAACACAATGTCTTTGTTTGGGCGGGCTCGTCCCGAATCTTCGATTCCAAGGGCCGATCCTAGTGCAGTGCTAGCGTAGTAAGTTCTGACAAGCGCAGGAGGTTTCTTCGTTCCTTCCCCTCCTCCTCCTCCTCCTCCTCCTCCGTCTCCCCCTCCTCCCCCTCCTCCCCCTCCTCCTCCCCCTCCTCCTCCTCCTCCTCCTCCTCCTCCTCCTCCACCTCCTCCTCCTCCTCCTCCCCCCCATCGTCTTTCTCCTCCTCCTCGTCGTCCTCTCTCCCCCAGCTCCTCCTCTGTCTCTCGCAGCGCTCCGCAGCGTTTCCAGCCGCGCTCGCGTGCCCGCGGCCGCCCGACGGGGCGTGCAGCTGGCCCGACGCGAGTGCGGGAGCCCCCCGGACGCCACCGCGGGACCCTTTCCAGAGTGGGGGGAGGGGGAAGGGGATACCGTACCCCGATAATAATGATAAGGAGCATGGAGATGGTATGGGTGAGCGACTGGGCCGCTCACAAAATGTTGCTGATGACTGCGATGACGTAGCACCTTGCCAATAGCGGTGTGCACAGCGTACCTTGTCCGTGGCGCTGTACACTTAGTGCGGCAGTATGCGGCGTACTAAACATACCAGCGAGCTCTGTCGGCCTTGTCCGCACTCTGCTGGCTTCAGGCAGGCCAGGCGCGCCTGTTGTGATGGCCGGTCGCGCTCGTGAGGTGTCACACGAAGGTCATGTGGTAGCTCTTTTAGGGCCGTAAGCAGGATTCTCATACAGCAGTGGGCATTGGCGATGCGTTCTTTGCACTCGTAGAAAATGCGGCCTGCCTCGTAGACGGCCTCCCAGGTACGGACCCGCAACTGGAGTTCTCTGTCCCATTCGTCCGGGCATGTGGCTGCAATCCCTCTGGCTGTCGTGGCCGCCACCTCATTGCGTGGACCGCATGGTAGAGGCTCTTCTGATGGCCGTCGTAGCTCAGCTGGTTGCCCTCGTAGCTCAGGTGGCTCTCGGAGCTCTGCTGGTTGCCCTCGCAGTTCATCTCGTGGCCGAAGTAGCTCAGCCTGTAACCCTCATAGTTCAGCTCGTGGCCCTGGTAGATCTGCACGTGGTCGTCGTGGCTCTAGCGGTGGCTCTCGTAGCCCAGCGGCTGTCCCTGGTGGCTCAACTGGTGGCCGAAGTAGCCCTCGGAGCTGAGCGGTTTGCCCTCGTAGTTCAGTTGCTGGCCCAATTAGCACAGCCCGTGGCCCGCATAGCTCCGCTGGTGGTCTCCGTAGCTCAGCAGGTGGCACTTGTAGTTCAGCTGGTCACCCTTGAAGCTCTGCTGGTGGCCCTCGAAGCTCGTCTGGCAGCCCTCGAGGAGCAGGGGGTGGTTCTCGTAGTTCTGCGGTCCCAGGTGGCTCTGCGCTGGTGGCCCTGGAAGCACCGCTCGGTGCCCGTGTAGCTCAGATCGCAGTCCTCTTAGCTCGGCAGTTGGCCCTCCGAGCTCTGACGACGGCAATCGGAACTCTGCTGGCGGCCCTGGCAGCTCTGCTGGGTGCCCTCGTGGCTCTGCTGGTGGCCGTCGAATGGCAGCATGTTGTCCTCGTAGTTGTGGTGGTGGCCCGGGAGGCTCAGCTGGTGGCCCCCGAAGCTCTGCCTGTTGTCCGTGTAGCTCAGCTCGTGGTGTTCGTAGCTCGGCAGCTTGCTTGCGAAGCTCAGCTGGTTGCCCGTGTAGTTCAGCCAGCGGCCCTCGTAGCTCAGCACGTTGCCCTCGTGTCTCTGCCGGATGCTCTTGGAGGTCTGCTGGCCTTCGTAGCTCTGCTCGGGCCTCGCTCTGTTTGTCGCTCTCTTCGTACTCGTCGTGCCCGTTGTCACCCTGCTTGTCGCTCTCGTCGGCGCGTTCCTCTATGCCTCATGGGTCGGCGGCTTCTTGAGGCAGCGACGAAGGGGTATATCGGCGTGCCAGGTGCAGTGCACGGCGGCGTCCACGTCGTCATGTCCAGGGCCGCGTGGTGGTAGTAGTGTCGCCCCTGCTGGTCGAGGTAGCCGTTCCGGCCAGGTGGCAGGGAGGCTGGTGCCGGTGGCTCTCGCAGTTCGGCTGGTAGTGCTCGTAACTGAGAAAGGTGGCTTTCGCGGCTTTAGGCCATAGGAGCTGTGCCGGCAGCTCTCCTCATAGCTCTGGTGGCGGACCTCGTACCACAGCGGGGGGCCCTCGTAGTTCGGCCGGTGGCCCTGGTGGCTTTGCCGGTAGTTCTCGTAGGTCAGCACGGGCCCCCCCCCCCGTAGCTTAGCGTTTGGCCCTCGCGATTCAGCAGGTGGCTCTCGTAGCGCAGCAGGTGGCGCTGTCACAGCATGTGGAACTCCATCGACGACGACATAAGCAGCCTGCTGTAGCGGCAGCACGCCTACCGCCCACCATCCTGGCCTCGCGTCGTATTCGTTGACGTTTGTACTCGAGTCTGTCGCACTGGTACATGTCGACGAAACCCTGTATTCGCACACGCAGCTGTAGCCCTCGCGATCGCATTGCTTCGTGACGAAAATCGGGGCATCGGGGTTCCAGCCGGGCCATGCATCGGGAAGTCTCGCTCGCTGACCACGGAGTTCGGAATTCTGACCGTGAGGTTCCGATCGTAGGTCGTGAGGTTCAGCGGGAGGTTCCGTACGGTGACCGCGAGGTTTCTTGCGCAGATCGTGGTGATCCGCACGACGAGCGTCTGGTTCCACTCGACGATCTTGATGTATTGGGCCACGGGGCTCAGCATGTTAATCGTAGGGTTCAGTACGCGGGTCTTGAGTTTCTTCGTGTGGATCGTGAGGTCGCATTCGACGGTGGCGTTCGGTTTTGTGATCGGGGGCCGCCCTGGACGCCATCTCGAGGGCGGCTGTGGCAGTGATAATAATGTCGTCAGATCGCGGTAGTATCCCATGTCGGACGTTGTGCCCCAATCGTTTTTGGGCCGCGTCTGCTCTGCTCGTACTCTTCTGCGCGTGCCCGGTCTCATCATATTTGCCGGGAGATCCCCACCAGGGTGGGCAGGTCTCGTAGGCCTTGGTGTCTGTTGATCTCGAGGTATGTCACGTGATGATGTTCACGTGGATCGTGGTGTATGTACGCTGATCTTGGTGATGTTCCCGTAGATCTCGATGTATTTCACGTGGATCGTGAAGTATTGGATAGCGAACGTGCCGCACGGCGCGCCGTCCGCCGCGTTGCGGACAGCGCACTCGGGCCAGCCCCCTTCCCGCGGGTGGTGGGGAGCACCTGGGCGTAGGGGCCAGAATGGCTTTGCCTTGAGCCAACATGGCTACGGATTCTGCTCCTCCTCCTTCTCCAGACATTTACACAATATGAATACCACTCTCCTCTCTCCCCTGATGACGTCCGGAAGATTTCCGGCCCCCCTCCGCGTATTGTATTCTATACACAGGATTCCCGGGAATTGAGTTTTCGCTTGGTTTTTGTTTCAAAATGTTGTTCCCGCTAAAGCGTTGGCCTCATTTTCGGGCTTCCGCTCGTTCCGAATCGTGCTCCCGCTGCAGCGCTGGCCTCATTTCCGCGCTTCCGCTCGTCCTAAATCGTGCTCCCGCTGCAGCGTTGGCGTAATTATTTCCAGCGCCATGCCACGGCATGGTTTTCGGTCATTCCAAATAGGCCCCAAAATCTAGAAATTTGCCTCTCGAAAAAACTATCGGAAGTGATTACATATCCGGTGCCGATTCGTTGATTTTAGGGCCGCAGAAGCCCCCCACCCACGCCATGCTGCGACATCCGACGATGCGAATAGAGAGGATATCTACGCCATGGTAAGGGATGAGAGGGAGGGGTAGGACGTCAGATATGTCGCAAACGCATCTTGCTTGTCCTCCTTGTCCTCCTCCTCCTCCTCCTCCTCCTCCTCCTCCTCCTCCTTCTCCTCCTCCTCATCTCTCGGTTGTTCCCGCCGCAGGTGCAGTGCACACTGACCTCCGCGCGAGACAGCATGGCCCCAGCCCTCACGTGGGCGTGCCAGAGGCGCCTGGACCACATCAGGCCCCCGAGGGAGGAGGGAAGGGGTGGGGAGTGAGCACAGAAGGCGCATCCAATGACAAATCGGCCTGCCTGCAGTGCCCCACGAAACTTTCCCATAGTCCCCGGATGGCCCCTGGAACCCGTGAGCACTTGAGCACCTTCGGGAGCTCAACGATCGACGACAAGTTTGCAGTAGCAGGAGAGTAGAGCAGCCAGAGAGAAGGGCAGGAGGACCAGGCCGGGGGAAACAAGACCTCCATGGGCGGCCAGTCCGTCGCGACCGAAACGTCGCACCCCTGTTGGCGACCCTTCGGCCCATGCTGAGTCGCTGGCAGAGCTGCGCTCAGGAAGCATCTAGAGCGCGCGCTGCTCTGCCCGCGAGAGCACCGCCCAGGGGCACCTGGCTTTGGCACTGCGTCGAGGAAACAACATGACAAGGCCCGGAGGCCCGCCCACGCCCCGCCGCGCGAGCCCCAGACCCCCGACTTTAGCTGCCTCGGTACGCCCGTCTTTATACGCAACACGTACCGTGCTCAAAACGTCCGTGCTAACACGTTGCGTGTTGGCTCCACGTGTTGGCCCACGTTGAGGCGAACGTGCCGCGCCAGGCGTCTGTTCTCGATCTGCGTGATGAGCTCCGTGTGGACACGCTACGTGTTGCGCGTTGCGTATCGGGGCAGCTCCAAAAGTCCAGCCTCATCGTGGTGCCCGCGACGCCCCCGAAGTGTGCAGGCGGAGCGCACTGCCTCGAGGGGCTGGCATCCACGCCGGCGCGGCCCAGGGCCCATGGGCGCAGGCCCTCGGCGCGCCGCGCCGCTGCCGCGGCTCGTCCGCGGGGGAGGGCTCATTTCGACACTCCTCCGATTCGATTCGGTTAGACTTCGATGGCTTCCGATTCCGATTCGACTTGGGATTCCCATCTAGGTTCCGATCTACCACCGGAGGCATGCCAGCCTGCAGATTTCCGCTGATTCGGCTTCTCCCGACTCGGCTGCCGATTTCCGCCGATCCGATTCATGACGAACGCCGATCCGATTAATCGATTCATCGGTGCCGAAGGTTTCTTCTCGATCCTCAGGGCATGGGTGCCCTCACCGGGCCTCGGGGCCGTCAACAGAACGACTCGGGACGATACACCGGTGCCGGGGCACGGGTCAAGACCTTTCGAGTATTAGGTTTAAAAATTATTTGGGGTTATCGATTCTGCAGTCGGTCCCGTAATTTCTCGACACGTCGGGGGTCTGGGAATGGGCCGCGCGGGGCCGCGCGTGCGAAGGGGCGCCCAGGCAGGGCTCATGTTGGCTCCTCCGACGTGGATTTTGGTTCGATTCCAATTCCGATTCCGATTCGGTTCGAATTCGGATTATGATTTTTAGCGGGCGAAGAACAGTACAAAACAAACTTGTCCGCCGTCGGGGGCGCTTGCCCCATGGCGGCTGGAAAGCTTATGCCCCGACGTGTCTACAATTTCCAGCCGCCCTGAGGCAGGCGTCCCCGACGGCGGAAAAGTTTCTGTTGTACCGTTCTTCGTCCCCTTCGACTTTGAATTTGATGTTCCAATGCTGGCCTTAATAGCCTGCCGATTTCCGCCAATTCTGCTTCTCCTGGCTTGGCTGCCGATCCCTGCTGATCCGATCCATGTCGATCGCCTATCCGACTGAATTCGATTCTGGGCTCTCCTGCCTGGCGCGGCCAGCACGGCCGCCGCCTCTAAGTGTGGGCGGCCCTCGACGCCCATCGAGGAATCAAACACGGCATGATTACATTAAATCTCTCGGAGATTCTCGCGGATCTCTTGGATCGGCGCGGGGCCCCCCTGGCGGCGGCGGCGCCGGCCCCGCCCGTTCACGCGATGAGGGCCCAGGCAGGAGGACACGCGGCGTGAGCTCGGTGGTGTCCGTCGCGTCGCCGAGGGCCGCCAGCACCGCGTCACCGGACGGGCACGCCTCGCCGAATGGCGCCGCCGCAGGGGAGGCGGGCTGGCTCCGAAGGGCTCCCCCACCAGCGCGCAGGCCCTCTGGAGCCAGGAGCAGTGCAGAGCCAGAGCAGTGCTGGAGCAGGGCCACCCAGACCGCGGCCAGGTACCTCGAGAAGTGCACAGGCTGGGCCGTGGCGCCACAGAGCAAAACTCTCCCCCACCGCGTCGAATGCAGGCCCGACGGGGATCCCTGCCCGGCGCGACACGAGCCCTCCTGTACCCAGCGCGTCGAGCTGCAGGACTCCACGTTCCGTGCCTGCCTCTTGCGCCTGGACGTCTGGCAGCACGGCAGACCGCCTCCGCTTCTGGACGGCCCGCTCGCCTCGGGGTCCGCGCGGGCCGCCCTGGAGAGCGTTACGGCAGGGGAGCATGTGGTATTGACCGGTCACTTCAGGCGGCATTGTCCGGCCGTGTGGCACCTGTCGTCGCCCGCGACGGGGCACGAGAGGTGCAGCGAACACAGCCGCGCCGGGAAGAAGGAGGTTGAGGAGGTGGATAAGGAGGAGGAGGAGGAGGAGAAGGCAGGAACGAGGGAGGAGGAACGACAAAAGAAGAACGCGGAAGGAGGAACAAGGAAGGAGAAGGAAGGGGAAACGAGGAATGAGGAGGAAGGAAGAGACGGCGGCGGAGGAGGAGGAGTGGAGTAAGGAGGGCAGATGAACCAGGATGAAAAGCAAGAAGGTCAAGGGGTGAGGATGGAGGAGGAGGCGGAGGAGGAGATCAACAGACGAGGCGGAGGGAGGTGGAGTAGGTCGAGGAGGATGAAGGAGTTGTGGGGAGGCAATGTACAGCATGACAAGTACACAGTATAGGCATCAACAGTAAGGACGTGCTGGTCGTCGTGCCCTCACCGGGCCGAGGGTGGTGTGCTGGAGTAAGATATTCTTCGCCCGCGTGCCGACAACAGGGGATATCACGCACGTTGCGCACTCGCCGGCGCGCGGCGTGTGCGACGCTGCCGGAGGGCTCATTCTTGTCCGCTGCGCTGGCAAGCAGGGCGTACGTGCTAGCCGGGCCGAAGGGAGCAACGTGAGCTCATGCCTGTGGTGGAAGGAATCTGGAGGAATACGGGGGTCACACGTGTTGCTTCCTCCAACTCTCAGTGTAGGGCTGAACGCTCCAGATTACAGTGCGCTCTGTCTTCCTACCCTCCCTCCTCTTCCCTCTCTGCTCCACTTTCCCCTATCTCCCCATCCACCGCTTGCCAATTCGGATTGTGCTGCCCAGGGCTCTTTGCTGCCAGTCCAGGTGGAGGGAGAGGGGCAGCGATGATGATGATGATGGTGATGAGGAGGCGGAGGAGGAGGAGGACGGAGGAGGACGGAGGAGGAGGGGCAGGAGAAGCAGGAGGAGCAAGAGGAGACGGATGAGGGATGAGGAGGAGAAAGAGCAGCGGCAGCTGGACGGGGACGAGGCAGATGATGAGGGAGGGAGGGACGGAAAGAAGGATGGAGGCAGCGTGGAAAGAAGAGAAAGGCAGCCAGCGAGGCAGGAAGGAGGAGTGCACGTCGGAGCCAGATCGCCCCCAGCCCCCCCACTCGCCACAGGAAGGGGCTCCACGACGTCGCCAAGGATAAATTGGGCGGCTTCTACGCAGGATGCTTCAAGGAGCGGGGTCCGCCCAAACACGCTCATTCGCCAGCCTCGGTCACACGTTGACCGAGGGCGCTTGTGTTCGTCGCGCTCGCTGGATTGGCCGTATGCGCTCGTTGCGCTGACTCGACCGCCTCATATGCTCGCTTGCTCATGCTAATTCGGTGGTTTCTCTTTCGAGCGACAGCGCAAAAGCTGCATACATGTCCTGGACATGGCGTTTCGGAAGTCCGCGCGTATTGCTTGGGTCGGCTCTGGACCCGCTGGCGACGCCCATACCACCCCCCTGGCGCGCTCCGCGCGCCAAGGCATGCGTGTCCAGCGCCGGTTCTGAGAAGTCCGCGCGGACCTCCGAAATTGTACTCCGAATTCGTATGTAGATGTTTTGCTCCACGCGGCAAGAGGGAGATGGATCCTGAGGGGAATAGGCTCTCGCCACCGCCGTGCCCCCCGGGACCAGCTCTTCATCCCGAGTCGTTTGCTCGACAGCCCAGCGGCCTGCGGAGGGCCCACAGCCCGAATGCGGCGACACAGACTCCAGGACCCGTTTCTCGGCGGCGAGCCCAGGGGGGGAAGAAAGGTAGGTTTGGGCGGCGATGGCGCGCTGCCGACGCTGGCGAAGAAGCACTGAGGGGCACGGTAACGCAACAGGACCAGACGGAGTTCAACCTGGAACGATTGGGGCCGCGATCGTCTCAAGGTTGAACGATCAACGCGGTGTCAAAAAGCCTTTGCGCGCGCCGACGCCGCACGAACCTACCGTATAGTGGGCAGGCCTTCTCAGAAGGCAGTGGGGTTTCTCAGAAGCCCTCGCGCGATCGGAGAAGGCGTCCACGTCTCCAGAGGAAACGCAGAAGATTTCTCAGAGGCCCGAGACCTTCCGAGCCTTCCGAGAAGGCCCGCCACCTCTGTTTTTCCCCCTGGGTTCGCCAGCGAGTTTCTTCAGGACCCGTTTGCTTCTCGGCGGTCCTCACGTGCTTGCGAGCAACATTTACATCCGTACCCAGTGCGTCTTGGACTTTCTTGGAAGGGGCGCCGCAAGGCCGATGCGCACTGGGGGGGGGGTGCTGCGCCCCCCGCATGCGGACGGGGGAGCGGCAGACCCGCGAGCTCGTGCCGCGCTGCGCGACGGGGCCCCGCCCGAGCGCCGCGTGATGTGCGCAGGCGCGTCGTCGCGCAGCGTCGCTGCGGATTCATGCGGCCAGCGCTTGTCGATGGAGTTGTGCGTGTTTCCTGCGGCTGCCGGCGCGGGGGCAGGCCCTGTTCCTGTTGCACGACGTGCGTTGCGCGGGGGGCAGTGTGTCCGAATTCGCTGCGCTGGCGGCGCGGCGCATAGCGCAGCTCCCCAAGGTGCCCGACTGAGTCGGGCGACGCCTCCGGACGCTTGCGTCTGCATTGGTCTCCAGAGCTGGCTCGTCAAAAACATGTTTCCTGCGGGCAAGACTCGAGTCCACATCCTCTGCAGCTTGGAGCGTCGGGCAGAGACGCGAAGTGCACAAGATGAGGATAAGAAACTGGCCCCCAGACACTCGATTTGCATCCATATTTCCAGTGCGTCTCGGACTTGCGGCGCCGCTTTCAAGAACGTCCGAGACGCACTGGGTATGGATATAAGTCTGACCCGCACTTCCTGCGACCAGTGTCGTCGATAAAGTTGCAGTCGTGCTCGTCATCATTGGGGTGTTATCGTCGGCGTTGTCTGGCTCGCAGGTGCGCTGGCCAGCGAGTCGTGTTGAATCTACCGGCAGAACACGATTGCCCAATGACTCCGCGTGGCCGCCATCAAGTAGTTGTCGTTAGCGAGCTCTTGCCGATAGCAGCGTGGATGAGGGCGGTAATCGCAGCGTGGCGATGTAATTTCTGGCATATGGAGAAACGGGTGAGTGGGAGGGGGGCGCGAAAGGGAGGAGGAGGAGGAGGAACAGGATGAGATGGAAGAGGACGTTGCGAAAAAATAGAAACAAAGGGAGGAGCCGGGGCGAGGAGGAAGAGGAGCCAGAGAACATTGGGAGCGAGCGGTGCCGAACAAGAGTCGTGATGGATGGGGTTCGCGGGCCGTTGAGCCCGCCAGGCAGCCGCGCGCCCGCCAGGGCGCTCCGTTTGCACACCGCGGGGGCGTCGCGGGCACCACGAAGAGGCTGGACGTGTGGTGTGCCAGGCGCTCGTTGCGGGGGGGCGTTCGCCAGACGTGCGGGGCGCAGCCAGCCGAGCCCAGACCCCCTCGAGTCGTGGACAGATCACGACGGGAATTTTTCTTTATTTTCAGCCTCTGGGGGCCTTCGCCGGGCTTCGGGACCGTCCAAAAAACTGCTCACGATGAAAAGTCGGTCCAGGGAAATGGGTCGAGACCTTGGAAGTCAACGTGAAACCAAACAAAAACATGACGTCGGGGGTCTGGGAGACAGACAAAGGCTTGTTTGCGTGCGCTGCCACGTGAGCGCCTTTCTGCTCCCGCTCATGAGCTCGCGCCGCCGCCACCGCCTCCTCTCCCCTTCAAGATTCTTACTGCGGTTCAGCCGCAGCCGTCTTGGATATATATATATATATATATATATATATATATATATGTATGTGTGTGTGTGTGTGTGTGTGTTGGATCGTCTTGGGGCCGTTTCTGGGCCCTCCTGAGGGCCTCTTGGGCCGTCGTGGAGCCATCTTGGAGGCCGCTTGGGCCGTCTGAGGCCTACTGCAGTGGCGCAAGCAAGATGGCGGCCCATTCGGTTCCTTGGTGTGGCCAGCACGCCTGCCCGCGTCGCGCGGGGTTCGCACACGAGGGCGCTGAGAGGCGGGACGCATGAACAGTGACGAGCAGGAGCGGAACTTCCAAAAATGCCATTGGGAAACTCCGGAGATGACAGCTGCACGTCCACCGGGTGCGCTCCCTCGCTGCCCTGTCTTTCTGTGGTTCCCAATCGGGCTCGAGTGCCCTCACATCGCCTCGGCCTACGACGTTTGGAGTGTCTCTGCGTTAGAAGGGCCAGCGCAGCCGTGTCCACCGCACACCCAGACTGGACCTCGCCGTCCTTGGACGGCAGCGGTCTGCGCGACTCGTCGCGACTGTCGCCACTTACGTGAGCGCCTGGTAGGGCCAGCGCAGTGACGCCCTACGCACACCCAGACTGGACCTCGCCGACCCTGGGCGGCTGCGATCGGGAGGGGCTAGGACGAAGACATTCCGTCCCAGAGCGTTCCGGGCCGCTTCCAGAGCGTTCCGGAACGCTCTGAGAAGGCCGCGGCGCCCGATACGTCCTCCAGAATCGCTGGATCTCAGAGGCTCGACATATCCGTGCCCGATTCTATCCTCGTCCTAGCTTCGTCTTGTGCGATCTGCGCAGCTGTCGCGGCGGCGGCGAGGGGAGGCAGGCAGAGGGCCAGGGGAGGGCCCGTGGGAGGCGGCGGCCCCCGCCGACGGCTCGCCCGCGGGGGCCCATCTTCCCATCCCACTTGGCACAGTACGCGCAGTGCCCGGGCGTGGCGGCCCGTCTTCCCACCCCACCATCATGGGGGGATGCGGAGTCCCTGAAGACGGGACGGGGTGGGCACAAGCGGGCATCGTAGCTGGCTCAAAATCAAAAGAGACATCATCGCCTCACCGTTTGTCTTTTCATTGACTTCATTCCATGCGTAACATGCTCTCCCATCGAGCCATGAACAAACCACGACGAAGGGTTTTTCTCAGTTTTCAGCCTCTGGGAGCCCTCGCCGGGTCTCGGAGCCGTCGGAAGACTGCTCAGGGTGAACATCTTGTCCCAGGGAGTGGGTCGAGACTCGAGACCTTTGGGGGTCGACGTTGCAGCACAATCATGACGTCGGGGGTCTGGACCCATCCACGCATGGCCAAGGCATCTCAGCCCCACCATCCCACCACCTCCGGTTGGAGATAGCCCCCTGGAAGCCCGAACGGAACAGCGAACATTCGCCTATCTAGGAGAGTAAACCGGACAGTTGGGCCCAGACCACGCCAGTGAGGATCGGGATAGGTCAAACGATGCTCAGACGGCACCACTCGTTGGGAGGGAGGGATTGGCCAGGGGAGCTGGCCACTCGCCCAGAAGGCGGCCACGACTGGGCTTCGTTCTGTACTCCGCGTTCCGTATGGTACAACAGTTGCTGCCTAATTTTAGGCCTGACCAGCGCGTGCGAGAGAGGAGGCGAGCAGTGGCAGCGTGGCAGCCGGGCCGCCGGGTCGCGGTTGAGCGCGGCGGTCAGCTCTCCCCCCCGTCCCCCTGCCTCACCTCGACCCTCTGGGAAGCCGCGGGCAGAGAGACCAGAGGGCGTCCAGCCTAGGACACGCGTGACGTCGGACCATCGATGAGGCGGGATGTTGGGTATAGATCTCCAGCGATATTGTTTTTGTTCGATCACGGCTTCCTTCCTCAATTTCGGCATCTCGGGATCGCTTTCCTGCCACGGACCGACAACAATGGATATGGGGCGAACAACTGGCTTCATGGGAAGGGGTCGGCAGCTCTGAAAGAGCATGTTCTACCGCTGCTGGCGGAAAACCGGGGGGGGTCACTACCGGTTCGAACCCCTCTCCCCCCCCCCCCTCCGGAAAACCAGGGGGGTCACTACCGGTTCGAACCCCTCCCCCCCCCCCAGTTCATCATGAAAAGGGGGGGGGTCACTACCGGTTCCAACCCCCCCCCCCCTCGAGCTCGAAAACCGACCGAGGGGGGTCACTACAGGTTCGAACCCCCCCCCCCTCGAAAACCGAAGGGGGGGTGCGGATAGTGGTGGGGACGGTGGTGGTGGGGACAGTGGTGAGGGGACAGCGGGACTGGTGGGGACAGTGGGACAGTGGTGGGGACGGTGGTGGTGGGGACAATGGTGAGGACAATGGTGGGAACAGTGGGGACAGTGGGACAGTGGTGGGGACGGTGGTGGTGGGGACAATGGTGAGGACAATGGTGGGAACAGTGGGGACAGTGGGACAGTGGTGGGGACGGTGGTGGTGGGGACAGTGGTGTGGGGACAGTGGGAATGTGGTGGAAACAGTAGGACAGTGGAGGGTACAGTGGTGGTGGGGACAGTGGTGAAGGCGGTGGCGAGGACGGCGGTGGGACAATGGGACAGAGGTACAGTGGGGACAGTGGTAGGGACAGTGGGGACAGTGGTGGGAACAGTGGGACAGCTCAGTGGTTCGAACCGGTAGTGACCCCCCCCTCCGGTTTTCGAGGGGGGGGGGGGTTCGAACCGGTAGTGACCCCCCCCGTTTTCGAGCTCGAGGGGGGGGGAGGGGTTAGGGGAGGGGGGGGGGGCCGGGGAAGGGGGGAGGGGGGAGGGGTTCCAGCAGGGGGGGGGGATTTTCGGAGGGGGGGGGGGACCCCGGGTTCGGGAGGAAAGAGGCGGCAATTTTCCACAGTAAAGCGGCGGTGGATCACGCTCTCTCGTAGCTCTGGGGCTTGGGTCGCGGATTGAAGCAATGATTTCGCATGACGTTTTGGAACTAGGGTTTTGCCAGATGTTTGTGACGCGGAAGTTAATTAACCATTTCCGCGTCACAGGATCGGGCGTCTTGCAGCATGATGTTGTGCCGTTATTCACATCGGATTGCCGCGTTTTTTTTTTGGGGGGGGAAGTTGGAATTAGAAGTTAAGAAGCGGTTTGAAGCGGTCGGCGCAAAGCCATCGTTGTTGAAATCGGGATGCAGCGCACTTGTGGCTATCGTGGTACGGTCAGGAGCTTTGGCTTCGCGTGTCGCGCCGCCGGTTCTGGCCCAGCACGCTTTGGAGCTACACGCTATCCACATCCTTATTTCCAAGGGTCAGCGTCCCGAGCTGTTCAGAGCCTCCTCTCCTCGGAGCGATGCGACGCGTTATCCGCTCGCAGGGGATCGCGTGTCGCTGGGGCCGCCGCCGCGACACGCTAAGCAAAGGTTCGCAACAGTACCATCGCCATGCTCAGCACTGGCACCGCATCTCTTCACACCTCACCCCTTCACGACGCGTTTACGCTGAGCCCGCAGCGGGCGAGTGCCCGCCCGGATCCAAAGGGCCGTGCCGCGCAACACGAGGAGCAGGGGCAGCAGGAAGAGAAGGAACACGACGAGGAGAAGTGAAGAATCCAGACTCCCTCGAGTCATGAAAAAATCACGACCGAAGGTATTCAGGATTTTCTGCATCTGGTCTCGGGACCGTCAAATACAATTCGGGATGAAAAGCCAGATCCAGGAATGGGTCGAGATTGTCGGGGTTCGACGGTGTGACAAAATCATGACGTCGGTGATCGGGGGATGAGGCGCGAGGAATGAGAAAAGGAAGACGACGACGACGACGACGACGACGACGGGCCAGGGCAGAGCTTGGTGGACGTACGTTGAGCCTTGCTGGCCTGGGCCTCAGATCTGCTCTCCGCCGATGTCGTGTTTGTTTCCGCCGTGGATCCCTGGAGGTCCCGGCCCCGTCACCAGGGTCGGCTTTCCATCCCGATTCGTCTGCTTACTGCCCCAGGGCCCCAGGGCCGGGTCGCGATTCTTTCTCCCGACGCGATTCTAAGAATCTTGCTCCACGACGCCCTGAGGTCGCCCGAGGTCTCCATGCACGAGGCCCCGGGAGATGCCCAGAGGCCCGAAGAAGAGGGCCAGGCACCACCACGCACAGCCCCGACAGCGTCCGAGCACCTCCCCCCCCCTGGACCCTCGAGGGCCGCGGGGCAGAGCCCGGCAGCCGGACGCGCCCGCCGCCGCCGGCGAAGGTTGGCCCGCTGCATCAACTCCGGCGCCGCGCCGCCGCTCGTCGTGGCGCAGGCGCTGAAGCTGCTCCACGCACCGCGGTACGTGCCGGGAGCCGCGCCCCGGCTCCGAGACAGGTGATTCCTCCGTGGTGGCCCGCCAGAGAGCGCCCTCCTCCTCTTCCTCCTCATCCTCCTCTTCCTCCCCCTTCTTCGTTCTCCTCCCCCCTCATTCTCCGGCTCCCCCCGCTCCTGCTTCGTCCTGCTCTCTCTCTTCTTGTCCTTTCTCTTCGCCCGAAGCATCGGGGGTTGCTGAAGGTGGCCCTGCCCCAAACTGCCCCCAGCTTTTCGCTCACTTTTGTAACCCCATGGGGCCCTCTGGGCCTCGCGAGAAATGCTCTGAAGGCCATGGGGTCACCTTGGGCCAGGAGCACTTCTAGCAACACCCGATAACTGGACGGTGGGACCAGCGCCTCGGGCAGAGGCGGACGGCGGCACGGGGGCCCAAGCGGGAGCCCCGAGTGGGGGGGGCTCCCGCAGATGAGTAAAAGTGCCCCAGCGAGTGCCTTGCCATTGGGGTGCCGTCTCCTTCTCCTCCTCCTCCTCTGTCCTCCTTCCTCTTCCTCCTCCTCTTCCTCCTCCCCTTTCTCCTCTTTCTCCTCTTTCTCTTCCCTCTTCCTCCCTCCTCCTCCTCCTCCTCGTCCTCCTCCTCCTCCTCTTCGTCATCCTCCTCCTTCTCCTCCTCCTCCTCCTCCTCCTCTCTCAAGCCACTTCGGCTCAGGCGCATTTTGCACCACCTGAGCTGCCCCAGTACCTTCACGTGGTGCTTGAGGGATTTCCCCGCAGCGAGACCAGTCTTTCGCTCTTGGGGTCAACCAGAGCTGGGGCTCATGACAGTTCCTGTTGCCCGTCGCTCGACCAGGCTGTGGAGCCGATGCAAGGCCTGCCACGCATGCGAGTACAACGATCGGCTCGACCCAGATCAGCCACAGTGCCCTCGCTGCAGTCGGCCCATGCGCCTTCATCGAGGCCGCTCTCGATCGCCCAGTGTGGTGCGCATCAACGAGCACGCCGAGGTCATCTCGATCGACGGGAACACCAGCCAGCGCGGAGGCGGCCGAGGCGGCCCCCGCGCGCGTGGTGACCGCAGCGGCAACCATGGCAGTGACGACCCCCTCGCCGTACACTTGCGGCAGGCCGTCGCCGCCGCAGACGATCCACAGATCAAGGGCGTCCTGCAGGCGCAGCTCGCGCGCCTCGACGCCGTCGCTGATGAAGGACCACCCCGTGGATCGGTCGTCGAGAGCATGCGGCAGGCCGATGGCGCCTGGCGCGCTGCGGTCAATAGGCACACGCAGATTGTGAATAATGTGATCAAGCTCCGTGCCAGCTTGGCAGCGGCTGAGGCCAAGGAGGCCGAGGCCGCTCTGCAGGTGGCCAAGACGGAGGCGATGAAGAAGAAAGCGGCTGAGGCGCTGGCCAAGGCCGAGGGGGTTCAAGGGCCCGAGGGCGGTGGCGTCGCGCAGCACGACGGCCAGGCCGCCTTCACCGTGTCCTGGGACCAGGACCTCTTCGCCGAGGCGGCCGACCTCGACTTCGCCGAGGGCGAGAAGGCCGAGCTCGAGCGGGTCAAGGCAGCCCTCGAGGAGCTGAAGAAGCAGTTCGACACGAAGGAGCCGCAGGTCAAGGCGCTGATCGAGAGGGCCCGCACGGTCCGCAAGGCACAGGAGGAGCGGCTCAAGAAGAAGCGCAAGGGCGGCGACGGCCAGGCCACGCCACCTGCTGCTGGCGAGGGCGAGCGCACGGGCGCCCAGGGCGGCAGTGCGAGCCCAGGAGCGGGCCCCGCAGCTGCCGACGGCGGCGGCGCCGCGGCGTCAGCCGCAGCCGCGGCCGAGGAGGGGGCGCTGAAGACCGAGGCGGCGCGGCTGTCGGCGGCACGTTTCGCGGCCCAGACGGCGCTCGGCAAGGGCAAGGACGGCAAGGGCGGCGGCAGCCAGGCTCGTGCCGCCTCGCATTGACTAGATGGAGATCTTCGGCAAGACGGGGTTCCTGGCCCCGAGGCTGCCGTCGCTGGCAGCAACAGTACCCGTACAAGTACCTTGCTCTACGGCAACGCCACCTGCATGGGCGACAAGTGTTGGGAGTACATCAGTAGTCGACAGGACGACTACATCGGGCTCGTCGAGACGCACATCTCTGCAGCTGATGTGGGCAGCTGGCAGTCTCGGGCGAGAAAGGAGTGCATGAAGCTGATAGCCAACCCAGCGCGGCCATCGCGGCATGGGCATCCTGATGGGTGGACAGGTGATTCGTCCGAATCGTCCGCAGGACATGCCAGCGAGGGGGGCGAGTGGTTTCTGGCCAAGGGTCACTTGCAGACGCACGTGCTCCACGAGGGCATCCAATCCGCAGCGCTGCAGGCCAAGCCGTCCACCAGCGTAGATGGCTTTCTGCCTGTAGTGCTGCACTTCAGTGGGTACTCAATAGTAGTGATTTTTTTTCTATGGGTTGTGTAGTATAGGCCTCACTGGCCCAAACCTCGTCAGATTTAGACGGCTCGGCAGTCTTTTGAGATCCCTCCAACTTCCCTGGGCCGTGGTCGGGGACTGGAACATTTCGCCACAGGCCCTCACGGCCTCGGGGTTTTTGCAGCAAGTAGGAGGTGAGATCAGATGTGCCGACGTCGAGCACACTTGCGACCCTGGGGGAGGGCGTAAGCCATCGCATTTGGACTTTGTTGTGCACTGCGCAGCTGCTCGTGCATATGTCTCTCAGGTCACGGCGGTCCACGACGTGCCGTGGAAGCCGCATCTCGCTTTAAGAATTCGTTTCGTCGCTGAGGGTGAACAGTTGATCACTCGCATTGTTGACCTTCCCAGGCGGCTTCCGAGTGTCACTCGTCCTGCCCAGGCTCCCACCCCAGGCTCCAAGTCTAGCGTAGCGAGAGCCAAGAAGGCCGAGCAGGCTGCAAAGGCAGCCGAGCGTAAAGATAAACTTCACTCTGCCCTTGTCGGAGATTTGTGGACGGCCACTGCCAACCCTGAGCTCGATGGCCAGTCCACTTGTGCTGATGATCCGTCAGACCGCGAGTCCCAGGATGGTTTCGAATCCGAGGAGGACCCGTGGATCGACGAAAGTGTTTTTCAGTGTCGTCGCGAGCCGCTGGCCGACCCAGTCCAGGCGCCGTGCGATGAGAAAGACCAACCGTCGGCCCTCGCCTCATCCCCTCCTCCCAAGCCTGCCCGCATCGACGTCGCTTCGTCTCACTCAGCCCAGTGTGAGAACCCCCGCAGACCTGCTGAATCCCAGGGGACGGAGTCGGCCAGCACAGGTAGCACCCAGCAGCCTAGCTTCGATATACCGAGTGAATTGTGGACGGAACACCGTTTTCAGATTGGCCTTCTGCCCACCCACTCCACTCGGCCTGCCGCTGCTGCTGCCTCGTCCGTCGCCTTCTCGCTCAAGCCTGACGTTTCGTGTCAGCTCGGGCAGCTTTACGGCTCCTGGGCGGCCACTGTTGAGGCCACCGTCCACGCGCACCATAGTCAGGTCTTCCTCGGCGGATCGCGCGCTGCAGGTCCCGAGTTCAGAGTGGTACCCGTTCGTGAACAGCAGAGTAAGAGGTGTGCAGCACTCCGAGATCTCAGCAGCTCGTGGTGGACCAGATTGCACACCATCCTTCAGAACATCTACCGTCACAAGGCGCGGGGCAACGGGCAGCGGCAGCTGGACCAGCTCTACGCGTGTGTCGACAAGCTCACGGCCGACGTACCCAGTCAGGTACCAGGCCACCTTCGACCACGGGACGGTGCTCGGTGGGAGCAGTGGGTCGACATCCTCGGCCGTATCCGCACCGCCGCCGACATCGAGGTCGTCTCCTACGCCAGCAAGGCCGCTGCTGTCGCGCGTCGCGCACAACAGCGGGCAGTCAGGAAGTCACTCCACGACTTCCGCGAGTGGGCCGTCACGGAGCCTGCCATCGGAGCGCTGCATCGATCTCTGCGGCCACAGCCGCAGCCTGCAGAGTCCGTCTCCACTGAGCAGGGCACCATCGTCCACCCACGCGACTTGATAGATCGGAAGGTCAGCTCCTGGACGTCGCTGTGGGCGCCGAGGGCCCCCGACAGGGCTGGCCTGGCTGACCTCTTCGAGGCCATTCGGCGACGCGTCCAGGAACGTGGCCTGCCACCGCTTACGGCGTGCGACGTGCGCCGTGGGCTCAGACGGCAGCGAGCGTCCACTGCGATGGGAGCCGATCGGCTCAGGCCGACCGACCTTCTTCGGCTACCAGACGCTGCGCTGGAGGAGCTTGCCACCATCCTCAACCTGGCCGAGCAGACACAGGCATGGCCACATCAGCTCCTGCTCACGCTGGGAGTCATGAGGGCCAAGAAGGATGGCGGCGATCGCATCATCGGACTTTTACCTGAGGTAGCGAGGCTGTGGTCTATGTGCCGCGAGGATGCAGTCCAGGAGTGGAACAAGGACTGCTTCGCCCACTGGGGCGCCGCAGCCAAAGGGAATTCGGCCCTACGCGAGGCGTGCCAGCGTGCCTTGCAGGAGGAGCTCGCTGCGTACGTCCAGGTCTCCCAGGCCCACGGTTTGCTGGACGTCGCACAGTTTTATGATAGTATAGATTGGTGTCGACTCGGGGAGGAGGCGCTGGAGGTTGACTTCCCTGCCGAGGTCTTAGGCCTCGAGATCCTCCAGTGCACGGCGCCCCGCATCCTCACGCAGAGCGGTGCATGCGCGCTGGGCATCTTCCCCAGTCGCTCTGTGGTGCAAGGCCTGAGGTCAGGCACCAGGTTCGCCAAGGTGATGACCTTCAGGGCCCTCAAGAAGGTCACGGAGGTTCACTGGCGGCACACGCACCGCATATGGATCGACGACCTCTCCCAGCGCATGCAGGGCTCGCGGCGAGCCATACGGAAGGACATGGTGAGGTGCCTCACCGACACGTGCGAGGAGTTGGCCGAGAGGGGCCTCACCATCGCCAAGAAGAGCGTCATCATCTGCTCCGAGATGGACGACGCGAAGTACATAGCTCGAGCCATGAAAAGACGTGGCTACCCCATCCAGTACAAGAGTCAGGCCAGCTACCTGGGCACGGACC